GCTTCCTCCAGAGATAGCTGAGCTTGCGATTCTGGTTTTACCTTGTGGAATAATTTCATAAAGAAAACGAAATCATCATCAACTGTTTTTTTTTTTAAGAAAAACTGGTCTATATATATATATATATATTTATATATGTACCTTGTTGATAAAATGCCAAGAAGAGACGAAAGTGTCGAGGGGGCTCCGACAAATATAAACAATCCGACATTTTGAGATCTTGATTGATTCTGGAAGTGATGAAAAGGGGATATGAGTAGCAAAAAGTCTAGGATCATGAAAATCTGATAGATTCGGAATCTTATTGTCAGAGTAAAGTCTGTACTCGAAAAAGGGTACGAGGTCATGGGAATTGGAATGAAGTAAGGGATGGTTTTTATCATGATCAAAAGGCGGGTAACATTTGCGATTGAGGACGGCAAAGGCCAAGGCCTTCAACCAGGTGGTGCCGGATTTAGGTATGGTGGCCAGCACCACGTCGGTGTCTTTGGCTTTGAAGTGTTTCTGGAACGAGAGAATGGATTGGATCTCTTTAGCCTGACACCAGAAGCCCTGGAACTGATACAGATACTGAGTTCGCCAACCTCTCTCTTTGGGGAGGGAAACAAGGAGCTCTCTGCACTCTAAGCTTAATAATTCTTCTTCTTCTTCTTCTTCTTCCACTCTTGATGCTTGGTTTTTTGTTAAATCGGTAATCGCCATTGGTTGATGAGCTTAGAACTTCGGCAACTGGCATACAAGGCCAATCTCAAGATGACCTCATATATAGTCATGAATCTCATGATATACGCTGCACGTTAATCCCGTTTGGACCCCTTCATTCACATTTCTCACCCTTGAAAGGGTCATGAATCTCATGATATATCGTGCACGTTGAGCCCGTGCAAATATATATATATATATATATATATATATATATATATAATTTGGACACCTACTTTCCCATTTCTCACCCTTGAAAGGGTCATGAATCTCATGATATATCGTGCACGTTGAGCCCGTGCAAATATATATATATATATATCTTTTATTTGGTTAAAAAGGAAAAATTGAAAGAAAGAGGAATCATTTATATTATTTTTTGATGAAACACAACATC